ATTTGCATCTGCTCTCCAGGGCTCAAACCACCCTCCAACTCTGTGTCCTGCTGGATCACTGGAGGTATTAGATTCTCACAGGAGCTCAGACCCTCCTGTGAACTACACATGTGAGAGACCTAGGCTGTGGGCTCCTTAAGAGAATCTCCTGCCTGATGATCTGAGGTGAAGCTGAGGAGGTGATGCTAGCCCTGGACAGCAAAGTAGTACATGCTGAAAACATGCTAATAAAAAGCCCACCTCTGGAAAAACTGTCTTGCACAAAACCAGTCCCCAGTGCCAAAAATACCGGGGACTTCTGAGTTACTGACCCTTCAAAAGTGTATTGTAATTACTGTGTTTCAGAAAGTCAGTCAGGCCTGCCGCCTGTCTGCAGAACTCACTGACCACTGAAGGGAAGAGCTACCATAAACTTTGTCAAAAGCTGTTTGTTCTAGAAAACTAATGTACCATATGCCACACCAACCCTTTCTAGTAGGGCTGAGGTAGATCTGGCAGAGTTCCTGTGTCCTCTGATTGTCTGAGAGACCAGCTGGAATTCTATGTATGAATGACTGAATTCTCCCTCTAGCCTATCCATCTATTTAGACTAGAGGGACAAACATTTTCTCAGAGAGCTGTTTGCCACCAAAGCTGGTTGAAAACACGATCCCTAGAAAAAGAGAGCCATCATGGTAACACAAACACTACCACGCTGGTTAAAACATCTGACAATTTCTAGTTTCTCTGTCTTCACAGTTGTCAATATTTAAGACAGTCTGAATCTTGGTTTCCTTGTCTATAGTATTTCAAGGAGTAAATTATACCTGTAAGACCTCTTTGCACTGCACTATTTGTTTTGTTGGATGTAATACTGGACATAGAACCCATAGCCTTTGAAAAAGCTACGTTCCCACTTCTTCTATTTAAGAGACAGGGTCTTGCTAAATCACGGAGTTGCCCAGACTGGGCTTAAACTTGTGGCCGTCCTGCCTCAGCTTCCCAGAGTGCCAGGATTACAAGCATGAGCCATTGTTGTAGCTACTATGTATATGTCCCCCACCAAAGTCTCATGTGGTACTGACCATTGTCACCCAGCAAGGGCAAAGATCTGCACTTAAGAGAAAAAGAGAGGAGAAGGAAGTGCACATGCGTGTGGGTTTGGTCATGTAAAAAAGATGGCGAAGTTTTACATTTATTTTAGGTAGGAAAAGGCACATGGTCTGTGGAGTGAACATGGGCCGGTTAAAGTAGGAAGAGAAATCAACTCCACAGGGTCAGAACAGTGGAAAAATATCCTTTAATAAAACATAAAACCTGGCGGGGGATTTAGCTCAAGGGCATAATAAGCTCCTGCCTTGCAAGTCCTCGATTGTGAGTTTGATCTCCTGTACCAAACAAACAAAAAAACAAGATAAAACCCTTAAAAATAGCCTCTTCTTACAAATTAAGACCGATTTAGAAATAACAAGAAAAAAGAGAATGAACAAGGACTTTTTTTTTCAAATACAATACAGTATAGAAAAGTACAAGATCAGTTTTCTCCTTTGATCATTTTCTGTCCCTGACGGAACTGTATATGAAAAGCATGGCCCTGCAATAAATATTTTAAATCTTATAAAGCAACCACCACAGTACCTTATGGCCAAATGCATCTCAGATGAATAAGTAACACTGTAATAAAAATGCTTTGTCTGTGGGTAGAGGCTGTAAGTCAGGGGTAGAGCACTTGCCTAGCATACAGGAGACCCTGGGTCCAATCCTTGGCATCACCCAGATAAAAAGTTAAATCCTAAGATGTATAACTAAAATGAATACAGAGGTGGACTGTATTGATAAAAGTTACCCACAAAACACAAGATGAAAGTGTGTTGTGCTTGAGTCCTTCAGAAGCACCCCTGCCTGTGTCTTTGAGGATGACTTCAGAAAAGATGGAGCGCATTTACGTTTCTGAAAACCAGGCAATATGGTGACAGAATGAAAGCCATTGCATTTTGGCAATGGTGACAACCCTCACATGTGCCAGTAGCAAAAATGTGCTGGCTTCATGAACCACCATGTTTTAAAAGGTACAGTTTCAGGCACATCAGAAACAGCATAAGCTGGGGCAATGGCACATGCCTATAATCCTAGCTCCCATGAGGCTGAGGCAGGAGCACTGCTGAGAGTTGAAAGTTAGCCTGAACTGCACAGTGAAGCCCTGTCTCAAAAAAACCAAAAAACAAAACAAAAAGAAAAGGTGGGCGGTGATTGCAGTATAGGTTAGCGGCACGGTGCTCACCTGGTAAGCACAAGGTCCTGAGTTCAATTTCTGACACCCAACCAAAAAACAGCATGAAATGAGCACATGGAGAAGACTGAGAAGTGGGGGTGAGAGTACTAAAACAAGCCGGGAATGGTGGCACAGGACTGTAATCCCAGCACTCCGGAGGCTGAGGCAGGAGGATCACTGTGTGAGAACAGCCTGGGCTACAAAGTGAGCTCAAGGCCAGCCTGAACTGCATAGTGAGACCCTGTCTCAAAAAAATAGCAGTAAACGTGTGCTTCCTGTGCTCCCTCACTGGGCGTCACTTTGAGTCGGGAAACACCTAGCTAAATGTGAATACAGGGCTGTAATCTGGGACTCGTAGTTTGTGCACCCCACAGTCCAGACTGAAGCTTTAAGGGTTAGAAACAGACATACACGCAGTGCCAGCTCGGAACCCAGGAGGCGCCAGGGCACGGGGTCCAGTATCCATGGACCAGCTTCCCACTTGCTGCTGGCTCTGTTCCTGCAGAGGCCGAAGGCCACACCTGTCACCGCACAGCTGAATGCAGAGGGCCCAGTCACGCTGTTTTAGTAGAAAGGGCTTAGTTCCAGGAACCAGGCAGCTGAGCAGGATTAGAGTCCTGCACATCCTCGAGAGCTTGGCTCCACCTCCGTGCCAGCCCTCACTTCCGGGACAGTGTTAACCTCACGTGCATCTCTGTAGGTGGACACTGCCCATACCTACGTGGCAGTCATCCTGAACCCTGGTTTTATTTATTTAACATCAGTGACCCAAAGCCTGGAATCTCCCTCGCATTCAGGGGTAAATATTCACCGACAACCCAGTGCTTTTAATTCTACGCTCCTTGTCAGTAATGGTCAAGAAACAAATTTATTATGAAAAGCTGATTTGGGAGACTCAGAGGGAATGCCCTGCTGAAGAGCTTCCAGGCCAGAATTCCTTGCTCTTAAAACAAGAATCAAAAAAGGAAGGGGCTACCATCTTTTCAACGTTAGGACTGGGGGACTGGTGACCAGAGAGAGCTGAAAGGGCAGAAAAACCTCATCATATCATTGTTAAGTCACTGAATTAAGCCACCCTGGGGTCTCCTACCCCTGGACTTCTTTGTGAGGTAAAAACATGTCTGCGTTCTTTAAACTTTGGGGCTAGAGAAGTAGGAATTCTGTTCATTGTGGTCTACATAATTAGATACATCTCCATCCTATGAAATAACATTTCGTAGAGTTCACGAAGGCATATACGTTCCCTTTGCTCCTCTCTCCGTCTAAGCTCTTGAGTGTGTGTTAATTTTCCTCCTTCCACCCCAGGAGTCGGCCCCTGGGAGGGCAGCGCCCGCTCTGCTCTCTTCCCCATCACCCCCCACCATGCAGGGCCCAGTTCCAACTCAGCCTCCTCTTTGAAGTTTTCCCTCGATCCCGGACATCTGTCTCTACTTCTAACTCTACTGCCTTTCGCTTTCCACATCTTGTTTGCTGATCTGGTCTCTCCCCCTTCGTATCCACCCCTCAGCTGTTTATGGAGCCTGACTGACTGAAAAGCCCTAAAATTTCCCTTCCCCTGGGGCTTTCCTTTTTGTTTCTTTTTCTTCCATGTCTTCTTTCCCCATCTTACTTCTCTGTAGAAGAAAAGGCCAAAATGGAGGAAAAAGGAATTGAGAGTCCAGGCCCTGCAGGAAGTACTTTCAAAGAAAGGCAAGCAACATGGCTTACCTTCCGGAAGTGACGCCTATGGGGAGGGTGACAGAGCTCAGGGGAGCAGCAGGTGGGTACCTGTTTCTGTGCTTCCCTGAGACCAGTCCCAGCTCTGCTCCTGAACCTGGGGCCGGGACATCCTTAAGGAGATGCCATGTCCTATGGTTGGGGCTCTGGCTTAAACCTCGAAGCTTTCTACTCTAAAAACAGGATGAACTGTGGATAGGACACTGTCATCTGGACCGTCACCAACTTCATCCTCCCTGTGCCTACGTGACGGCATTTAAGCAGAGGTGGAATGTAAGTGTTCTCAACTGCAAACTAAAATCCCAGCTTGTTCTGAGTTTTACCTTAAGATTCTTACCATGCATCATGCTCACTCTCACCACCACCACCATCATTTTATGGGGCTTAGAGTCAAACCCGGGGCCCGGCACATGCTAGGCAAGTGCCAAACCACTGAGCGGTACCCTGGGCCTGGGGCTGACTTTCTGATGAGAGAGGAGCAGCATTTGCAGGGACTGTACCCCGCTGTAGGAATCAGCCTGAACTCACAGAGATGTGCCATTTAGTTCTAATAGGCGTTCAACTCACAGTGGAGTCTAAAATATATTGTCATCTTCATCAGGGAATAAGAAACCAACACTAGGAACTTCTGCAAGATTGTTTATATTACAGGACAGTGGAAAAAAACCTACAGTAAATGTTGATGTTTAAATAAGTACCAATTACTATAAAGTGCAACCAACATGGTTCTATTAAGACTGTGGCGTTGAAGAACAGCAATACATACTGCATTTTCTTTACAAGTGACTAATATACAAATCTACAAATGCCAAAATTCATTTCCGTGCTATTCTTGTGTGGGCATGGAGGTATCCTTTCTTTTTTTGGTACTGGGAATCAAACTCCGAACCCTGTGCTTGCCAGGCAGGCACCGTGCCGCTGAGCCATATCCCCAGCCCGAGATATCGTGTTTTAATTCTTTCCTGAGGTATTTTTGTGTGTGTGGCTTAATTTTATTCTCCTGCTGGATGCATTAACTCGGATCATCCCTTCCTAAAATGATGAAAGACCCGTACAAGTTTTTATTGCATAGGACACTATTCCTGACACAGCCTGGGACATGCAGACATGCAGTACGGCACAAGTGTTACAAATATTTCATGTGAAGAATTTGTTACATACATCTCTTTGAACGGTTTATCTCTTTTTAAAAAGCTGAAGTGATAGCCAAGGGTTGGATCGGTACAGTGAGGCACTGGAGGAATGTTAGCAATTAGGAAGGAAGAAGAGTCATACAAAGGAAAAGAAAAGCCACTCTTGCCAGCTATATATTGTATTGCTTACAAAGCAACTGTACACGTCACAATCAGTCCATAGTTAAATATTTTTACTAATCTGCTTTGGGAGAGCAAATGTCTTTCAAGGTCTCAAGTTCCTCTATAAGCTTCTTGTTCTGGACTTCCAGCACCGCAACTCGGCTCTCCAGACATTTTACGTATTCTTTCTTTCGCCGTCGGCATTCTTTTGCAGCTTCCCTGGAAAAAGTAGAAGCAAAAGGGCAAACAGTGGTGCGAGCTGACGACAGACAGACCGAAGCAAGCGTGGTGAAAGTGAGCTAGGCTGCATTCCAAACCTCGGAACAGGACTCCTAATTCAATGTCAAATTCTAAACCAAACTGGATTCTTAGTTAAGGTCCCAGGTGTCCCTCTGCAAGTCCGACGGGCAGTTAGCACTACTGCATCGCCTGCCTTGATTAGGGTTCAGAGTAAACAAGGTCCAGGGCAAAGACAGTTACTCTGCTTTATGGCAATAGAGATCTTTGAGGGCCTTGAGTTCCTCAATGAGGGTCTTGTTTTGGTTTTCAAGCACGGCCACGCGATTTTCAAGACATTTGACATATTCTTTCTTCTTCCTGCGACACTCCCGGGCAGCTTCCCTGGAACCAACACAAGGCAGATGACTAGAGGAACAGCCTCCCAGCACGGTCCACCATGGCTCAACCGAGTCCCTGCCCCCAGAAATCCAAAGCCAACCAAACAGAGGGAAGGTTCGGACAAAGCCACAGACACAGGGAACCAAGCGCGTGCCTTTTTGTACAGCAGGAGCAACCTGAGAGCACAACCAATTTATCCAGCTGGCGCCTTCCTAGGCACCCAGTCCAGGAGAAAAAGGGGCTGGGTTCAGTGAGCTGAAACAAGGGGCCACATTCTCAAGGCCAGTTTCTGCAGGCATTTCTAGATTTTTCCAACCTTATTCTGTTTTGTTTGCCAAAAACCACAACTGTTTCATCACAATGAATCATTATGGGTGGAGGGCTACGATGATTGTAAGACAATTCTCAGAAACCTTCAAATGTCAATACTGAAGATTTTTATTCTTCAAAACTAAATCTCAGCAAAAAGCGGGCAAGCACAATGGTAAGAAACAGGTTTGGGGGCTTGAAAACACGACATGGATAAATTACAATGGCAAACACAAAGTACTTTTTATAAACCAAAATGAAGTGGACGCTGCTTCTGAAAATTAAAGCTGGGGTTACATAGCACAACATTTGATAACTTAGACAATTAAAACCCACACGTGTAAGAATGCCACAGTGCCACAGTTAAAATCACAAAAAAGGAATCTAATGAAGAACTCAAAAGCATTTCAAGACTGTTCACATTAATCACATGCACTGAATATGCAACTCACTGAGTTTAAAGCACGGTAAACATGTCACAAGGAAAAAACAGACCAACAGCCAAAGCAACAAATGCAAATAGCTGAGTTAGTCATTTTCAGGCATTGTTCTACTAAGAAACGATACAGCTAACATTTCCCCTTTCTACTTTATTTTAAAGGTGGGAGAGGATAGCAACTATTTTACTTACATCTCCTCCGAGAATGGCTTTATTCTGGAGAATGCAATTCCAGAATAAGGGCTAGGTATTATCACTCAGGTATATTTCAATGACAATAATGCTGTATTTCTAAATACCAGTTACTACAATGCCAATTCATATTGTTGTATCCCTCCACCAAGTATAACGTGCACAAAATCTAGCCAATTGAGCTCATTTTAGGCGAGCTGACTCTTAATGGAATATCTGTTTTCTCATGGGAAGCAAAAATCAGCAGAAAAGAAACCTTGAAATCGCGAGGAGCTGCAGGAAAAGGCAATCTCTACTTCCCTAGCCAAGAGCAACACACTCATGCTGTGAGCTCACAAAGCTCTGGACTGCTCAACTGGTTAACAAAAAATAAAAAGTGTGCAAGTGAACTGAACCAAATAGAACAGAGATTCATCTACGTGATGCAGAGAGGAAAGTTAACAATGAATCCAAACATATAAATCTGCTAGTTTGGGAATATAATTCAACTCCCTTCCACAAAAAAGCTATAATTCAGTTACAAAGACCAATATTTTCATGATTAAATCATTAAACTCCAGATCTAGAAGGAAGGCAGTCATTTTATAAGACAAATTGCCATTAAATTTTAAACATCTCGCCATAGTGTTACAGGGTTTAACTTTGAATTTTTGTTCACCAAGTGGCTTGCTATAAATATCCATACTTCATAGTTTACATTTGGGGGCAGGCGTATTACTAAGAGTCCCAGTGTTCCAGCCCAAAGCTTTAAGTGACCACACCAGCAGACAGGCATTCCTAAGCCATCCTCAACTGCAGAAGGCACCTGTTGCTTCTATTAATAGCTCAGTTTCCAGGCCTTGCATATGACCGGATCTGTGCTCAACAAGGAGAAGGAGCTCATGGCAAAGAGGAAAAGCCAACAGGCTCTAAGAAATAAAACACTTGCTGTGTTGGCAGAAATATAACTAAATATCTAGCATCCATGCATCCAAAGAATAAGCAGAGAATGCATGAGATCTTCCCCGTAAGTTATGAACCCCGGTCACATGCATTTCTGAAGGCCTATCTGAAGCTTGCAGTGAGGTCCTTGGGAGGTGACCGCGGTGCTTCAGGGCAGTGGACTGGTTCAGGAATGAAGGCTGCTGGTCGTGCAGCCTGATCCTGTCTAGTCTGGGGTGTGTGGCCTTACCCCACTTCCTGTTCACCTCACTGAACATCAGTTTCTGCTAAGGTAGGGACAAAAACCAGGACAATTCTCATGGGAAGACAACGTGAGCTAAAGGAAATGTAGAAATAAATTTGCTAAACAGATACCGAGCACCTAATAGTTCTTTAATAGCTGCACTTCTCTTGTTGCTCTGAGACTAAGATTTGAAAGCCAGAATAAATAGGAAGCTGTGCTGTCAATGAAATGTGGGTTAAAGTGGGGGAGGGGAGTCTTCCAGGACAAGTTTCTAAAAGAGGGCAGGTTCTGCCAGCCTCTAGTTCTGGCTCTTGCCCTCTTCTCTTCTTCCTGCCTGATGCAATGCCTAGAGGGGCAGCAGCTAGGTTGTGAGCAGGAGGACAAAGGGTCCATGCTGCAGAGGAGAGCCCAGGGAGGATGGCCTAGGCCCGACCCTTGGTCCTAGCCACAAGTGCTGTACCTCTGTGCTGCTGTGGAGGAACAAAGACTTGTTAGAACAAAGACTAGTTAGAAATGGAAGCCTCCACTTCCTTAGTTACTTGTAGCCCATGCTAAGTGTTAGTGGTTATTATTCATAAGATTTTTGTAATGGCTGGGAATTTAGCTCAGCGATGTAAGCCTGGCAAATGTGAGGTTGTAAGTTCAACCCCCCAAAAAAAGTTATTTGTAAGCACTAAACTTCCATAATTTTCCCCCTCAGGGAGCTGCTATGCATGTCTTATGTATGTTTGGCATGTTTACAGGAACTCACTGCCTAATGTTATACTGAATTTACGTTGCTATTGTTACTGTAAGAATTCCGAAATTAAAAATAAGGGGAGAGAATGACAGCAAAAGTGGAAATAAAGACGACTTTCCTTTTTTACTTTCTTTGGGTAAAATACGATACCAATGAACAATTTTACAGTTGGCATTATTGGCAGATTTTAAATTTCTAAACTGAACTTCGTAATGTACATATTACCAGAGACGTGATTATATTCAGAGCTCTTGAAATCCCAGGAAATTCCATCTCTATCAGTCTATTTCTCTATCTACTTATCTGTGTATCAGTCTATCTATCTATCTATCTATCTATCTATCTATCTATCTATCTATCTATCTGTCTGTCTATCAGTCTGTCACCTCCCCATGCTGGGCACGACACCAAACCCTCTGCATGCCAGGTAAGCACCCTGCCAATGTGCTACACCCATGGCCCAGAAAATACAGTTTTAAAGTATCAAGAATCTTCATTAGATCAAAGACAGGGTCTTTGTTAACAACCACCATACTCAGTTCCATCAATCCAGCCCCATGGGGATTTCTGAGCAGAACGGATAAAGAATGTGAACTCAGAGTGACTCAGTACACCCGGGACAAGCCCTGATATCATGTATACCCTTCTGGTCCTATTTCTGGCTATGTGTTGAATCTCCCAGCATTCAAAATACCATCTAACACTCACTGAAATGAGTAAGTTTGAGAATGATAGAATTGAATTATGTCACTTAAAAGATGATGGGAAGCTCAGTATGGCTGCTTCTGGTCCATGCTGTTATCAAAGATGTCGAGGAACTCAGAGCTCAGATCCCCAAATTTATAGACTAACTAGGTTGGCTATGTCCTGATAAATTAATGACCCTGGTCCTGGTCACAGGCAAGCAGATGATCCCCCCTGAAATGTTTTTTTCTTACAATGAGGACACTGTTTACAATTTAAGAGTAGGTGAGAAGAGGGCAGGAAACTGTCAGACAATTCTGTCCACTCTGCAAATAGATTATTTTATATCATCCCCATAAGAACAGGAAAAAAATAACACAAGTTTAACAAAGTAAAGGCTTACATTTCTAAAAATATGGTGTACTGATGCTCAAAATCTAAAAATTCTGCTGGGCACAGTGGTACACGCCTATAATTTTGGCTACTCAGGAGGGCAACACAGGAGGATCATGAGGATAGCCTGAGCTATCTATCTCTAAGGAGTGGAGTCACTTTTTTTTTTGTTATTTTGCAATTACATCTTGAATAGAATTTTCTTAGAATAATATGCATTTCATTGTAATAGTGATAAAAAAGAAATGCTCTAACATTTCTTTTGCTAATAACAACTAAAAAGTTGTAATTGTCACCATACTATTTCACAATGTAAATAACATACACAAAATTTTAATCTTCATACAAGAATGCATCTTTTGAACATTGCTCCCCTCCCCCCCAACAGGGCTGCACTCCTGCTGATGGATTCTTCCGTGTGGCCAGGGATCAACCTGAAGAACTGCTGATCAGCTTTACAGGCAGGGGAAATGCAGACCTGCATACAAGACCACATGAACACCTGACTTGGGAGAAAGAGCTTGAGAAAAGCATGTGTTTTTCAAAGCCCCACAGTAATAAAGCATGCATCTACCAAGCAGTTCCTGAGCGCTCGCGAACACCGCACCTGTTTTTCATCAGCCTCAGCTCTCGTTTGCGAGTGGCTTCTTCTGCCAGCTGCTGGGGACTGTGCAAGGTTCCCGGTGAGGTAGCCATCACCACACCCTGGGGCAAAGCAGTAGCAGGAGCCCTGATCTGGTAGGCTGGCATGTCACCCGTGGCGGCTGCAATGACAAAATGCAAGCTTTACACATACAGCTCAGGAGCTGAAATGGCACAGTCAGTTATCCTAGAAGTAGCACACTTTTTACATGTCACTAGAGGTGATCTTGGAATGGGGAAGATACTTATTCTGAGCATGACAGGACTTTTAAATATCATCAAAGATTCCCGGGCACTTGATAGGATCATGTTGGCATGCTTTCCATTATTTATGGTAGAAAACTGTCCAAATGCATTGTAAACAAGTTTTTATCAGAGGCTAAAGAAGACAAGCTGTTAAACTACAGTTCATTCAGCTAAAACCAGCAGTGTACTGACATGTTTAAGAAACATCTGAGGGGGGCTGGGGATTTAGCTCAGCGGCATAAGCGCCTGCCTTGCAAGCAGGCAGTCGTGAGTTCGATCCCTGGTACCGATAAAAAGGAAAAAGACAAAAAAAAAAAAAGAAAAGAAAAGAAACATCTGAGGTGGGGTGGGGGACCCTGACCTTGGTTATGTTTGATGATTCCCACAGTAGAAATACTTTTACCATGGCCAGTTTCAAAATGTCTGCGAGACTTTACTGAATGTAAGTTGGAAAGAAAAAGGCAAGCAAGATGTCTACTAGACAGAGGATGGAGATGCTAATAAGTTTAAGAGCACAGATAAAATCATTAGGAATGACGGGCTGTGAGTCATTTATTTGAATGTGTGTGAGTATGAATGTGTATATATGAGTATACACACATATTTAATTTTTAATAATGGCTCACAAAGAGGTTGCAAGTTTAACAGCCAACCCCAGCAAGCCAGGGAGAGCATCTTCATTAAACAGCTCTGCACCGGGAGAGGCTTCCCGTGCTATAGCATGCCTGAAGCAGCCACGCAGGGTCCTTCTGCAAAACAATGATTCAGGGGAGGGCCGGAATCCAGCTTTCTGTGGTTTCAGTTAAAAACCACAACAATAACAAAAGCCCAGCAGAGCTCTTCATAAAACTGGCTTCTCTGGAAAAAGATCATGTTTGTCTTTCTTTTGGGAAAATAATACATTTCTCAGTATCTTTTTTTTTTTTTTTTTTTAAGAAGAAAAGGCTCAAGTTGGTTCCCGGCATTAGTAGTCATCTTTTAAAAAATGTTTTCTAAATATGGTATAATCATCCAGCTGAAAGACAGATTTAATATTTACTTATTATTCAGGTTTAATACTGAAAATAAATACATGGTTCCCTAATTTAATTTCAGAATTTGTCTACCACTGTACATTGCTTGCTAGAAAAAATAGATGACTTTGAATGTCTACCACTAGTGCTTCAACTTTCAGAATGTGTGGTCCAGATTAGCTTGATATTTTGAGGACAAAATACGTATTTTTTTTTTTTTTTTTTTGGTCTTTTTTGTTTTTACTGGTACCGGGGATTGAACTCACGACTGCCTGCTTACAAGGCAGGCGCTTATACCACTGAACTAAATCTCCAGCCCCAAAATACATACTTTCTAAATGCAAGAAAAATGGTTTAGAACTGCGTGTAGTGGTGCTTGCCTGTAATCTCGGCCCTCAGGAAGCTGAGGCAGGAGGATTGCTACATAGCGAGTTCAAGGCCAGCTGGAAATACATAGACCTTGTCTCAACCTCCCCCCAAATGGTTTAAAAGATATTAAATTCTACAAAAATCAATCTGAATCAGATACAATCAAAAGAAAATGCAGGACTGTCATTTTTAAAAAATGCATTATAATACATTGAGTGAGAAAAATTTTCCAAATATGGAAAATAAAACTTTTTACACAAATTGTATATTATCACTGAAAGTAGCCAAGTCATTATCATTGTTTGGGTTTGGAAAAGGATCTTGGTATGCAGTCCAGGCTGGGCTTGAACTCATAGTCTTCCTGCCTCAGTCTCCCAGAGTGCTGGGCCACCATGCTTGGCCTAAATTTGTTGTTTTTGCTTTTGTGACTATTCAGAATACTGCATGCATGTCTTATTATATGTCTAAGAAAGCTTTAAAGCTTTGGAATACTTGAGAAAACCGGTTACACACCAAAGCTTTTTAAATGTCTTGAGACACTGTCACAGGAGATGGGAGGTAGGGCAGAACAGCTGAGCCCGCCCTGCTCTGCCCCGTGCCCACCTCCGAGGAAGGAGGTTATGGGATAATAAAGGCTGGAACAATGCAACAGCTGGAGGCTGCGCAGACTTTCTAAAACTGGAACAATGGCCAGTGACGAATGAGAAGTCTACATGTCATCATCTTGACATTTGCAGGCAGCCTGACTGCAAAGCTGGTGCCAGGGCTGACCTTTCTAAACACTCTGCACAAAGAAGGGGCCCAGACAGAGAGGAGCAGAGGGTTCCTCTGCTCCCGTGTGGTACACAATGGTGTTTTCTACAGTATGCCAAGGAAGTGGGGGACGTGATGCACTCATGAAAGGGAAGGAGACACAGGAGGCCTTGACAGAGGAAAACAGACACCAGCAGTGGCTCCGATCTACTTTTGCCTGTTTCCAAAAGCCACGGCCACTCTTGAAGACCAAACTTGGCAGCAGGAAGGACAATGGAAATTCCAAATTATACATTTATAAAACATTTAGAGCAATAGCTCAGAAAAAACATAGCTTTAAAATAACTTGGAAGGAGATAAGATAGCTGATATATTAGTTCTGGGATGTTAGATAAACCAAGTATTATTAAACTGTTTCAGATGCCATATGTTCATTTTATTTAACACAAATAAAAAAGTATAGCTCATTAGTTCAAGTCAGAAATATGAATTAGTGTAAATTAGTAGGATTTAGAATAAATTTCCTTACGAACCCAAAGAATCTCTAAGATGGTACACATTTTTGGGGTGCTGGGGATTGAACCCAGGGCCTCTGCACCGATTTACCCCCAGCCATCTTTACTTTTTATTTAGACATAGGTCTAACAAAGTTGCCCAGGTAGAACTTGAACTTGTGACCTCCTGCCCCAGCATCCCCATGTGCTGGGACTGCAGGTGGCTCTACCACACTTGGCTGATGGTACACTTCTAATGGCCAATGAACAAATTCCATAATTCAAGTATAATCTTATTCATAAAGTACACTAGAAATATGTAGCCTCAGAGAATCTCAACTGGAGGAAATCTAACTGTCAAAATGTTTTATTATTGAAGCAAGTTGTAAAAGACTGTTTTAATGGGCCTCACTTTCTAACACTATCATGAATTCAGTAGTAATTTAAAGCAGGTTAGATATCAAGATCACACTTCAGAAAACCATCCCACATTCTTTGGTGACATATTTTTATTACTAGAAAGGCCACTTCCTTCCCTATTAGAAGTGTCCAAATTATTTCTTAGCCTAGCATTTCATTTTTATTTTCTGAAAATATACAGGTCATCAGTAGGGGCTTAAACATTCTGACTGGAGATAGATAATGAGAAAAATATATTTAGACACTGATTTTTTTGCAGACAAGCTGAGCTTTGAGACAAGCAGGGACAGTACATTTTCACAGTGCTTGTTCTGGAGAGGGTGCCCTGTGTGTGGTGTGTGTGTGTGGACACTGAGGAGTACTCCTGGGCCTTGGCACCACCACTGCCATTAGCAGTGTCTAAAATAAGCAGTCTTCCCTGCAGACGTATGGGGACGTCTTTAACACTTTAACATGGGAAGCATGACAGGGTGCAAGGTGTCCCCCAAGGTGGCCTTGCTTTATCAAAGGCATTGTTTCTAAATCTTCCCTTCGATATACTTTATATTCATCTAACAGGGCATTTTGAAATTTAGTGTTCTAATTATGATGTATTTCTAATCACTGAATTCCTGATACAAAAAAAAAAGTGAGTGTGGAGGGGGTAGGTAGATACAAATATTTCACGGGAAAAGAAAACTCCAGCTTGTAACTGGTCACTGACTTCATACCTGTCCCGGCAAGCTTTCATTCAACATGGTACTGTACGGCAGACAAGCATGGGGTTTGGAGGCTGGGTTCTAGTCCAGCTCCGCCACTTACCAGCCATGTGACTTGGGGCAAGTTCAGTTTCCTCATCTGTAAAACGGGGATACATGGTCTCATTTAATACTCACAACAACCCCTACAATATATGTCAGAGAGCTTAACACAGTGCCTGGCATGTGGAAGTCATTCAGCAAATGTTAGTTCCCCTCCTCTTCCCTTCCTTAAACTCTGAAAGACAATGTTCCGAATTATGCATATCTATATATTAGTTACAAGGCTTATAATATATATAAGTAGAATTTCCCCTGAAGTTTTTTTCCTACTACACTTGGGGAATCAAAACATATAGTTCTTATGCCTCACTTTGGGTAAAAATATGTCAAGAGAATATTCCTTTAGATGATAAGTTATTAAAGCATAAGCTACAGAGGAGAACCACAACCCCACAAGTCAAAGTAGAAAACAGACACAAGTATAGAGCTCAGGTTTTTTTAAACCATCTTTTTTTTTTTTTTAAAACCTATCTTAAGGGGCTGGGGATTTAGCTCAGCGGCATAAGTACCTGCCTTGCAAGCAGGCAGTCGTGAGTTTGATCTCCTGATAAAAATTTTTTTAAAAATTGAAAAAAAAGACCTACCTTAATAGATTTAAAACCAAAGCAATTTGTCAATACCTCAAATGATGATGATTTTTATTATTTATTTACGAGACATCTGCGGCCCTGAGTGTGATAACTGGGCAAACACACTTTTGTTTCCTGGTCATCTCCCGGCTTCCTACCACACCACCACTCCTCACTCCCAAATCAGCCTTGCCCATGCCTGTGCCTCACACTCTCAGAAACTTCCCTGCCCCATCGCTCCACTTTCTCCAGGGAAATTAATCCCATAGAACAATGACTGTGTAAGCACTGAACATTTCAAATTTGTTATAATTATTGTAACACATAAACCACATAGAGTTGCCATGAAATATCTTTCTGCTTTGAGAAATAGTTGACAATGGGAATTGTATGTATCCGAGGAATACAATGTGATACTTTGAGATATATATATCTCCACCCGTTACCACAACCAAGCTCAGTTACATGTAACCTTCGCAGGTTGTTTCAAATGATGCTAATTTCCTTCAACATATTTACAGGCAGCATATTGTGTGCTATTGTTTCTCATGTTACAGTTGCCTTTGTTTACCCACGTCAGGTGAATGCTGACAGCAAACAGTGTGGTAGGAACAGAACCAGAGCGGGGTGAAGACCCACACTGGTTCTGCCACTTGCAAACTCTGTCAGTTTGGCAGAGTCCTTTACCGGCTCAGAACTGCATCAGGTCCCACGCAGATGAGTGCGATAGCATCTGCCCCGTGTTCTTCAGCAAGGCCCACCCTGACTTCGCTTGTATTTCCTGCTTCCTGCGTCACTCGCAATCTGACAGCTCCTCTGAAAGCACTTCCTTCAGTTTGTATTTGTGCTTATTTGTAACATGAAGTGATTTTCTTATATTTTAATTTTTACATCAATTCAAAGTTTCATAATTATATTATTAGGCACTGTATTCATGCAAGAAAATCAAATGGGGCAATGTAAAATAAATATCTCAAAGTATATTAATTTGTTTTTCAAAAATAGAAAAATAGCATAATAGCCTTTGAAATTTCACCTTCTACAGAGCTTTGGAGTTTTACTGAAACTTCAGGTAGCTAAGAGACTTGTTATTTTCACTTCCAACCTTATTATATCTTGCTCTGTTACCATATTCAAGAAGATACACTATGGATATTCACTGTTTTTATCATAGATTTTAGGATTCTGTAAGTAAATACTGCTAAAATCTGCCAGAGATTTAGCTCAGTGGCATAAGAGCCTGCCTGGCAAGCATGAGGTCATGAGTTCAATCCTGGATACCAACCAACCAAACAAACAAACAAAAAACTGCTAAAATCTTTTCCAGACCAGTCATGCATGGTAAGAACCTAATTTTACTCAAGTTCATAGTTTTTCCAACTCTAAATTGTAGACAATCAGTAGGTCATAAAATCAATGTCATGGTTCAAGAATAGCATTTTTAAAAGAAAAAAAAAAAACCTATGGGTGTTGTATTTGAAACTAAATCATGATATAAAATGCTGCCTTGCCAGGGATTTAGCTCAGCAGTGTAAACTCCTGTGTGGCGAGTGTAAGATTGTGAGTTATCCTCGGTACCAAAAAAGTGAACAAAATGCAATGCTGCGTGTGGCCAAAAACTCTCCCAAACAACATTCTAGATCAAGTCCCTTGTTTACCAATACTCAGCCAGGACTGAGAACCCAAAAGCCTGCTTCTGAAAGCCTCTCAGCTACACTTTGAAAAATCCCTTAAATCCTGTGCTCTTTTGGGTCTTAAAAAAGAAATGAAGCTACACACCTGCAATCCCACAACTTGAGAGCCTGAGGCAGAATTGCTGAGTTTGAGGCCAGGGTGGCTCACAGTGGCTCACAGCGAGGCTACACAGTGAATTTAAAGACACCCTGAACTACTCAGCGAGAATCTGTCTTTCAAGAAAGGAAGGAAGGAAGGAAGAAAGGAAGGAAGGAAGGAAGGAAGGAAAGAAAGAAAGAAAAAGAAAGAAAGAAAGAGAAGGAAGGAAGGAAGGAAGGAAGGAAAGAAAGAAAGAAAGAAAGAAAGAAAGAAAGAAAGAAAATAAATTCAGCACTCAGGAGGCTGAGGTAGAAGGATCATTGTGAGTTTGAGGCTAGTCTGAACTACATAGCGGGGGGGCCCTATCTCAAAATGACAAAAAGGGCTGGGATGTAGCTCAGTGGCACAGCACCTGCCTGGCAAGTGTGAGGTCATGAGTTTGATTCCAGTAAAAAAAAAAAAAGAAAGAAAGAAAAGAAAATTTGTTTTTCATTTTTAAAATAGCTATTCAGATAGCATTGATTCTGTTAGATTTTGAAAAACAATTCCAAAAGCATAATCAAGGCTTGTGAAAAAAATACTCTGTATTGTTTAACATTTTTAAGTTTTAAGGATCTGGAAATTTTTAAATTAAAAAGGGAAAACATGCATAAGTATTATTGGTAACACTGAAAATAACTTCATCAAGGATGATATGTTCATTCTATCAACATACATATATAAAAATGTTTTTTAAATTTTATTTAAGGAGAAAAAAAAAGCAGAGAAAGGGTACAAGTTATACAGATTTACAGAAAAAAATAAACAGTAGGAAATCACTAGTTAATGGATTACATATTGTCATCCTAGAAATAATTGTTCAAGTCACAAAATTAAAGCTTGTAAAGTGGACATTCCAACAGTGAGACTGCAAACAGTTCCGTTCAATGATCCAATAAAACTCAGTGATATCATTTTCTATCTTATACACTTAAATATACATGCAGTTATATCGTTTAGAGCACTTTCTTTTCCTCTCTTTTGTACAATGACAATTACACATATAAAAATGTTCTTTTAACTTATAAGCAAGCAATAGTTGAAAGTTTAGGGGGCTGGGGATTTAGCTTAGCGGCATAAGCGCCTGCCTTGCAAGCAGGCAGTCATGAGTTCGATCCCCGGTACCCATAAAAAGGAAAAAGACCAAAACAAAAAAATAGTTGAAAATTTAATATAAATATTTATCTCAAACATTTGCTTTTAAATATATCTGGTATTTTAAATTATTTTATTGTATTACTGATTTATGCTTAGACAAGTCAAATAGTGAGTAGGAATTAAAGCTAGTTGAAAGAAAAATATAAACAAACCACAGAAAGTACATGTATGCAGAGAAATGCTTTTTGATTCTAAGAATCATGACATACAATATTTGAAATCACTTTAAAAAGTTATGTGTCTGGCACAAATTATGTCAATGACAATCCTTAGCACTTCTATAACTTACTTCACAGAAACTTTACTGAACAAAAAAGCTCCTAAGACAAACTTTAAAACAATTTAATGCAGTTGTACTTGCTCAAGACAATGGAATATTCCAACCCAGTAAGAGGGCAGACACCACTAACCAAAGAGCTAAAGTGATGAAACTCTAATGACCATTCATTCCGAAGTCAACTGCAAATCCAAAACTGGGTTACAAATAAAACCACTGCGATAACAATGTTACACCACACAAAGGTCACTAGTAACTAAGTCTTGCAAAATCACTTCTTTTATAACTCAGAAAAGCCACCCACATCAAGAACATTCATTACAAGTTTACGCAAATACCAAAGGTTGGGAAAAGACTAGAGACGAGCACTCCCCCGACTGGGCAGTAGGGGGCGCGCTGAGCCCCGGGGTTCTCACCCTGGAGCAGCGGCCCAGAACTCCTTAGCTATATTTAGTCCACTTGTCACCACGCACGTGCAGAGCACTGCATCCGGAGCCACGAGCTGGCCACTGCTACGCTGGCCGGACACCGAGTTCCACTCATCAAGCACTGCCCGTGTTGCCGGGTCCCTCCTCCTCCAGCACAAACTTACCTCCTGAGAAAGGCTACGCAAGGCCGGCCAGAAGGCCACGCAGCCTGGGGCGATCTTGCAGATAGGGCTGCGGTGAGCTAGTTAACCACGCTCCGCCTGGCAGCGCAGGGCGCTTGACAAAGCAGAAAGGAACTGACTAAATCACAGCACCACTCAGGCTGACGTCAATGTGCAGCTCGCTAGGAGTTTAACTTTTCCACTTCCCGGCTGAAACTCGATTCCAGGAAATGTAATGACGTCAGCCCTTTGAATTCAATTAGCTGAGGAACAGACCACTTTAAAGACAGGAGGAGAGAGGTGAGCGCAAGACTCCCGGCAGCGGTTTCTCCAGGGCTGCTGGCAGCTGCCTCCCGGCACGGCAGGGAAATCACGAGCTTAATGGTTTACAGCATAAACAGTACATATGTTTAACTTGTTGCTGGATTAAATTTGCAACAGGTTGCAGATGAAATAATAGCTTATTTTAGAACAGCTGAGAAGGGAGGGGGCGGGCGGGGAAGGAGGAGGTGCGGGGGGGGGGTGGGGGGAGAGAGAGAGAGAGAGAGAGAGAGTGAGAGAGAGAGAGTGTGTCGTGCGCGGAGAGGAGGAAAAAATGGGGGGAGGAGGCGTGCCTTGGCTCTGCAAACCAT